TAACAGTGTTTAATGTCAGACTGAGCTGGGGGTTTAGAGGTGGCACTGCTGCCGTCAGTAATTCCATAAACAGTAGGGAAATGAGCTACGGTCTACCTTGAGCCAGGGTGCCGTTCCAATCATTCCCTAGGCTGTCCTTTCCCCAGGACATCAGTCATTAAAGCTAGCAGACCTGAACCTAAATACACAGAATACACAGTGTGCTCCACCATCCAGCAGCTTAAACCAGAGAGAAAGAAGCTACGATTCCTGTGTGAAGATGGCTTTACTCCATGTCACACCTGGCTGGGAGGCAGGCTTGTTCAAAAGTGATGCTGTTACCAAATAAATGTCCAAAAAGATTTGACAGAGCCAAGTAGATGACATTTAAAGAGTGATCACTTCTTCTATAAAACAAACCTGTCACATAAACATGTGGGATCACCATATTAAAATAACTAGGATGGATCCTAGATTCACAATTTGCTCCAAGTGTGATTTGAAGATGCTAACTTTCATTGCAATAAATGTACATGGCTGTCACAATTGCAAAACATACAGTGTCTCAAGAGCATCAGACACCATATAGTATGCATATTATATTGAATGTGTAGAGTATGCTGTATTTTCTATACTTTAGGGCCGTTTTGTAGGGAATTCTTTGTATTTCCACAAGCAATGGTCATTGGGCTGAGAAAGTTGTTCAGATATGCTGCTGACATAATCCACACAGAGTCATAAACTTCACTGAGAGCTCAGCTTTCTGAAACCTAAACTCTACTACTGACAGGCCCCCCTGATGACAGAACTGTGTTTACCATGAAAACTTTAGGACTCTCCTATATTACAACTCGGTCCTCAAGAGTCTAAGACAGGTCATTAGACTGCTCCCTAAACTCACTAGCATACTACACATATAGACCAACTGCCATTGCTTTTCACCAACACATTAAGTCACACATCATTACATTTTCAAGTTGCCCTTGTACGGCACAGGGCTTCATTTGTTGTTCTGTCCTGCTTCCATGGATCCCAAATCACAACACCTGTTAAAAAGCCTTTACCTACTGAGTGGGTTCCTTTGGATTCTTTCCAGATGATATAAAGACGGCCCTCTTGTAAAACATATCTGGAAACCATACGCTAAAGATTTAGCACTCATGACAAATAGCTACTGTAACCTTGATCTTTAAATTCCATCCTACAAGGCAGGATGTCAAAGTTAATATATGTAGGATACTGAGCTGCTTTTGGGGTTTAATGCTTGTTAAGAAAACAGGCTGCAAAGGAATGAGCGACATTTAGTAACTTTTGATTTGAATCTAACACAAATAAAAGAGTTGCTGCATACGTGGTCAGATCTCCTGATGTCATTGGCAGCTTCAGCATTGTTAGCGATATATTGTTGAATCCCTCAGTGAGTTATGTCGAGGCCACACAGGCTGCTCGTGCTTTCAACATCAGACTAATGACGTCCAATTGAAATACTGTTCCTCTGCATTCTCACATGTTCCATATTTACTAGTCTCATTTGGTGGTTTCTGCAACAGTTGGGGTGAGCTTGACAAAATCCTGAGCTAGTCCCATTCTTTCCACTCGATCACAAAACTCAAAGTTTTCCTCCCAACAGAACAGCCCTTGTAGGTCCAGCCACCAAGCACAGGGAGTCCTACAGAGCACGGCCATATAATAATTAAGAAACCTCTTTCCACGCCACATTGCAGAGGAAATTATTAATATTTCTATTTTGATAAATGTATTGCATTAGCACCCAATCCAGAATATTGCCACAGGGATTACAAATGGCAAAAAAGACCTATTACAACAACAATTTACTAAAGTGGATTCACAGTTGTAATATGCTTGTCAATCAAAACTGCAAAACAAACAGCGAGTAACGGTAGACCGGGGGTGAAAAGGTTGATACAGGTCACCAGAGAACCATCCATCATGGCTGGCAGACGGGAACACATGCTGGCCTTGTACATACCCATGTTTGAACAAAGCTCACTATGGTGGCCTCACACAGTAAGTCACTCACATTGGGTGCATACACTCAGCAAAACACAAACACAATCCGAAATGGCCTACTGCCAAGTCTGATTGCACAGACAAGGAATTAACCTTTTACAGAGGTAGAGGTATTTCACCTTAGATTGCACTTAAAAACTGCTACTTTATCATGTAATGGATAACAGCAAAGAGAGTAGAAATAATTAATATAATTAAGTTACATCCCGTCTTTTAAACTCTGTTTTTATTGAACTAGTCACAAATTGTACTCATAACAGAAGCTTTCCTCCTGCTAATCCCAGATGAACTGGTAAGCAACCAGAGAACGCTCTCAACATGCTCATTCGTTCCCCAACATAGAAGCCCATCTGTGGAACATTTCCAACATGAAGCCACTTTCCATGATCCTCTCCCATGTGGTGCTTGCAGCTTTAAACGTGGGACTAACATTTTCCCCCCGACATTTTTATGATCCATTATTCCTCCACCTGCTGAGGATTAGAAATGGAAAGGGAACTTATCACTGCACCAACACCGTGGTTTTGGAGGATATCCAATGAGTCACTCAAACATTCAACATTGAAACACAGCTTAGCTTCCCAGACGTTGAGTAAGAGCACCATTCACCAGTTAACCGCAAGTTAGCTGCAGTTGTCATTGAGGAGAGGTAAGAGAAAAAGATGGGTACAAACAATTAAATAATTTAGTGTAACCTGTGATGCATGATTGTAAAGAGCTAAAGTTGAATCACATTTTCTTTGATCAAAAATCTCTTTCAAGGGATTAGCTTGTCCAACGTGTGACCGTTCCTTCAGTCTGGCTTAATCTTGGATGTTATGAAATGAATTTGTCCATTTCTCGCTGGTCCAGTATCTCCTGCCTGGAACTTTGTCTTGTAAAGCCGGTTGTACGTTCTCACTGTGTCATCGGGAGAAACATTTAGACGATTTGGAAACATTGAGATGCTTCCGTTCACTTCAGGAAGAAACCGTGGAACAAATCAGCGGCCGACTGCTTTTAAATGCTGAACCACACATGATCTGAACAAGGAAATACATGAATGTGAAATTAATATAATCCTTTATATGATATACACAAGGACTATGTTTATTGCACTGACGAGGTTCGTCATTATAGATATTTCATTCTTGAAAACTACAGCAAGCTGTTGCGTTCTCTTAAGCTGGTTGCATCTTTTGTAGTTTAAATATTTTCTTTCACTTGCTACTAAGTTATGCCCCGAGGATGTTACAGCAACTGACATCAGAATGGCTAAATGCTACTGATTGCAAATAGCTTTCCCAGTCAGACATTTGGTTTATAGTGAACATTTCCCCAAAAGTATGACTGTTTTGTGACGTTCCTTGATAGAAAACACATGAATGTAAACTGTACTAGAGTCGGACACCAGAGATGCACTGAGGCCAGTATTTAAATCTATAGGCTTTAAAGGGAATTGTAGATGGAAATTTAAAACACTACGATGGAAAATGCTGATTGTACAGTTTATATGAGCACCTGAATAGTTGCACACATAGAAAACTAATTTGAGGAATAAATTCGTACTATAACTGCGAGGCTTCAGCTATTGACTTGTGCACCATGCTCTGCGCTTTTTAAAAAGGCACTACTATCGCCTGGTATTTAACACCTAAACTAAAGTGATGCACATGAGAGAGACATGCAACCATATCTAGTTCATAGTTCATTGTTTACACTTTCCTTTTCCTATTTTGTATGCATAATTGACACTTGCAGAGTTTATAGTTGACGCACATAAAGTTAGTCACCATCTGTAACATATTGAATGTTTATACTTCAAAGGGGGGATCGCACATCTTATTTGTTGTAAAACAAGCTCGACAGCCAAACTTAGAAATTGTATTTAACGCAAAGCTACAATAAAACAATAAAACACTGAAGTAGCTCAAGGCTGAAAACAACATAACACCAACTGATGAACACAGCTGTCCATCTGGTGTTACTCCACGTTGAAGAAATGATTTTAGTAGCTGCTAGAAAAGTTGAAATTGAGTTCTTAGGAAAATGCTACCCTGGAGTTTCTATGTATACTGAATAGAAAACCATTAAATACTAATAATATTAGTAGAAACAGGAAACCCAATGACAGCATTATTTGTCTGGGCAACAGCTTCAAATGGTTTTGAAAACAGGAAGACAACACAAAAACAACAGACAGCCACGGCAACAGTATCCAAAGCCAAAGAAATTTATAGAGCATTGGCAGGATTGTCCATCGTCTGACATGACAACGTGTTTCATATCCTTCTGTCTAACAATACACACGAACAAGTAAGTACAGCTCTGCTTTTGATGACGTTACGTAATTATCCCCCTGCACGATGTAGTTCAAGTGCGTTGCTTTGTACTTAGATCCAGCCTGTTTCAGACATCTAACCTCCAGACTATAAACCATGCAGGCTCAGTGGTCGCTCACCCAGACCTGGTCTAAGTCAAAACACCTGGATCTGCTTCCTATCTGTCAGCCTCTTCCCATCTCTCTTGGGACAAGCTTTCATTCACAGCCAATTAGGATCTGATCAGTGTAACAACGTGGCATTCCGCCCCGAGAATAACCATGCAGTCCGAGCCAGAAATAGTGGTGGTGTTGAACCAGCGGCCAGGGGGCAGAGGGTTGGAAATTCGAGATGTGTGTGTGTGTGTGTGTGTGTGTGTGTGTGTGTGTGTTGTGCATGCTTGTGGATCTCCTTTGTGCCATGGGGAGGAGGGGTAGAGAAAGAAGGCTGTTGCTTTAAACAAGAATGTGTTCATTTTTAAGGGCGAGGGGGAGGCTCTGAGCTCAATTTGTCTGCCTGGTGAAACACTGCAAGAGGATTTTTCATCATTTAAAGGCACCAAGGAGGGAGTGAAAGGCGAGAGAGAGAGAGAGAGAGAGAGAGAGAGAGAGAGAGAGAGAGAGAGAG